CCCCTTGTGTGGCTTCCAGAGCGAACTCGAAGTCAGCTGTGCTGCCCTCTTGTGCCATTTGAGAAGAGAGCTCAGCCACAACGTGAAAGAGAGTGTGAGGGTGACAGAGCCCTGGAACAGGCTGCCCAGAGAGGTTGTGGAGTCTCCTTCTCTGGAGATCTTCCAAACCCACCTGGATGCCACCCTGTGCCACCTGCTCTAGGTGACCCTGCTGGAGCAGGGGGTTGGACTAGATGATCTCTAGAGGTCCCTTCCAACCTCAGCCATTCTGGGATTCTGTGAACACAGGGAAGCCCAGCCCTCTCTCGACCCCAGAGACTCACACAGACTCTGCACTGATAAACAATGAAAAGCTTCCCTTAAGGATGATATTCTTGGAAAAAAATTTACAGAGCTAGCCAGAAGCTTGTTTAAGGCATTATATGAAACCTTTCCACACCCTAAATTGCATGGAACTCAATACGGCTACTTCAAAAGATATCTTAACAGTTTTAAAGATCTTCATTCCTCTTCCAATGACATACACACCTCAGACTTTACAGGAATTTGCACAAAATCATTTTCATTCCATCCTTGAAGATACATTCCCATTCCTACCTTCACATGATGGAAGTTCCTCTGTGTTAGCCAATCTCTGGTAGTATTTTTCTTTCCCAAACAAGCACTGCAGCCAAAAGCATTTGCTGTGCTGCTCTTCACTGGTGCTGAGGAGAATCTCTGAACAGATTTTAAAAAGGAAAAGGTCCATATTAAAAGTCAACCTGCTTTGTAAAAATTGGGTTCACATCTAGGTTCTACAATCAGGTTACAAACTGGAGTATAACTGTAGATTTAACATCTCAACATCATGTTGCCCTGTAAACCTTATTATTTGTGTTCAAATAATACAGCAGTCAGGGCAACAAAGCACTGTTTTAGCAGTTCTCAGAAATACTACAGGATGGGAAGACGGGAACATTTCACCCAGATGAAACAAAAATGATGGAAATTGGATACACCAATCTAAAGTAATGATTTAATGGTTTAGACATACTTCAAAAAGGGATGGCCCCAGGATCTAAGCAGGATTCATGAGTGAATTTGGGCACACGCCACAAAGGCAGTCTTGGAAAGCAGATAAATTTGGTGGGTCTTGAGTCAACAGTCCTGACACAGGAACTCAACTGCACCCAGATGTCCTGGGCTCTCAATTTCCGGTGTCCAGAACTGTGTTTTTTCACAGCAGAATTTACACTTAATGGAAAGTAGAGCAATCCGCCTGCCAAAGATTTTGCTGATCATCTTCTGTCACACACCTTGGCCACTCAAGCCTCAGTAACCAGTAAGTTACCCTGGGCTATGCATACTAAGTGTTGTTGGACTAGCCTCGGAAAAGCATTAAAACATTCCAAAACACAAAATCACCACATAAACACTTATATATATATATATGGTTTTCTTACAATTCCAGCCAAACAACATAACAAATCTCCAAAGAAATTCTAATTGCTGTCAACTGATAACGACAATATCTTTTCTATTACAGTATATTACACTGAAGGAGATGAAATGTCAGGTTTTCAGTTGAATTGTAACTCCCCTAGCAAATGTCTTTTTTGAGCTCCATGTTAAATGCATAGCAGATTCCGTTTCAAAGAACAAAGTGGTTCACAAATTATTCCAGAATGCTTGTCAGCTCTGAAAACATTTCAAGACTTATGAGATTCCACCTCCTGACTTTTACTTCTTTCTTTTGTGCCCTTTGCAGTTATATAAAAGTTCCTTTTCAATAATTACTGCATTCCACCATAGGGCTGGTTGCATTTTAGTGGTTTTTAGTTGCGTTCTAACAGATGAAGTTTATGCTAAAGCATTAACTGTGAGATCCAGCCCAGAAATTCCATATACTCTATTTTATGTGTATCAGCATCTCTGGATTGATTTGTAACAAGGAGAAAGCAGAATCACACACGGAAAGGGTTTACAATGAGGAAACTACTACATAATTTGCAAAGTAGCTACTACCCGCTGCCATCCTCCATCTAGAAATGAGGGGTTTTGCCTGCAAATGCAGAGTGTTGTGTCTGCCACAGAGGAAAGGGGGACCTGGGGGGTTCATGTTCTCCATGAGGCCTCCCCAGCCCTTAAAATGATCTCTCCTTTTCCCACCCAGCCCCAAACTGCTAAGCCCCAGTCTGTAAAACACATCTGATCTCAGGGTTTCTGCAATTTTTCTAAACTTGCAGGAAGTTTTCATGGCTTCTAAAAGTTTTTCTTACACTGCAATGAGTGATCAAAGGGTCTGTGCATTATATTACCTGTACTAGAAGGAACAGCAAGTGCACCCCAATCTAGCACTGAACTCATTTATGACATAAAGCAGGCAAAACATTGAGGATTGATGGACATGAAGATAGTGAAAAATGCTGGTGACCAGATGACACAAGTGCTTGTACTTTCCTATAAGCAATAAAACTCTATCTACCTGCAGAGGTGGCAAGGGCTCTTGCTTTGGACCATCTTTTGCAGATTTTCTTCCACTAGAAGTATTTAGGCTTCTGTTCTTCTGTGACAGGGATGCTGTAATTCCCTGGGCAAGCTTAGAATGAGGAAAATACACACTTCAATAGTTTTGAAGCTTGCACCCCAAAAAAGCACATGACCAGCCCCTCCATCTGTTTACAGTAAGAAATATTAAGTCTCCCTCTTAATCCATCTTGACAAAGAGAGATGGAGGTTTTCTGTGAGAACATAGTATGCAAAATCACAGTGGACTGAGATCCCACAGGGGAGAGAAAAAAATAGAGCAAATCTAGTAAATCAGCCTGCTGAAAGCATCTATCTGCTAAAGAATTCACAAGCTATAAAGTTTCTAGCAGTTTTCTTAACTTCAAAAATCAAGCTGTCGCCAAGTGTTGACTATTTTTCTATTTTACTTGGACTTTTAGTAGAAGATGGCAACTCTTCTTGATTAACCAAGGCAGGACCTACTTGTTTGAACACCCGCTGTTTTGCGGGTCTTAAAATTTGGCCACCTGTTATGATAGAAACACCATGGGCTATTTCTAAAGTCTGAATGGATAAAACAAGATTTGAACGCCAGCAGCTAAGCAGCAGCCCATGGCTTGGGGGCGGAAGACAGAACATTAAGCTAATGGATAAGGTCAGCAAATCCAGCACGAGCCCCGCTGCAGAGAGGGCAGCACCAGTAACACTAGACCGACCTCCGCCCGCCCCAGCCGGGTCCTGAGGGAGACCCAGGTCCTGCGGGGAGGTGAGATCAGGACAGGGGACCCCAAGGACGGAGGCCCCTCACCGGCTCCGGGGAGGCTCCAGGAGGGGGGCGGCAGCGTCTCATGGCGGAGCCGCCACTCCCGCTCCGCCCGGCGCGGGCACGATGGGGCCGCCCCAGGAGGGACCTCGGC